GGTGCTGCTCAGATGATGCCAGCAGGAGCAAAGACTGGGGTGACACAGAGGGACTCTGCCATCTCCCAGCCACAGGACAACGGGGCACAAACACTCTCCCGGTCTTCTTCTGTCTGTGGTGGCTTTCCCTGGAGGAGCTGGATGGTTTTCCTGCAAGTGGGAGACACCCGAGGGGGAGCAAAGGGGAGGAGACCCCCCTAAAATGCTGTGGGGTGGGCCCAGGGAACAGGGGGCTGCAGGGCTCATACACCCCCCCCTCCCAGAGCTGAGCTGCCCCAGGGAAAAACTGGCTGAAGTTTCTCCATGTTTAAAAAAAGTTAAATGTTGAGTTTTGCCTCAGAGGCCAAGTTTTCACCCCGAATCTCCAGGTTCTGGGACTCGGATTTGACCTTCTCCCTCGGGCAAGGAGCTGGAGGGAAAACCAGTCCCTCCCATGGGATTCAGCCCCGCTCCCTCACCCTTCTCCCGTGGGATTCATCTCTTACCAGGCCAGGCGGGACATGGTGTAGGTGACCCGTGGCTGGGGACCCCCCGTGGGTGGGGAGGGGCTGGTGGTGTAGGCCCCCATGTCCTCAAAGATCAGCCAGTCTCCCACCTGCAGCTCAGGCAGCTCCAACCCGTCGGCGACATGATCCTCAGCGTGGCCGTGGGGACCCCGCAGGCTGCTGCTGTGGGAGGGGGGGTCTGGGCAGGGTCTCTGCAGGGGACAAGGACACAACAGTGCCCGTGACCTGCCCTGCCTCCACCAGGAGTCCCCACAGATTCTGGACATAGCCCTTCTGGTAGCCACCATGGCCTCTGCTCTGGCATGGAGCCGTGGGCCAGCCAGGATGTGAGGTAGAGCAGGTTGGGTGAGGGGGTGGGACACCATGTGAGGGACCCTCTGGGGTCTCCTTGACCCAGGCCAGACCCTCACCTTGTGCAGCCGGGGCCTGGGGCAGGGGCTGTCAAACAGGAGGCAGCTGAAGGCACCATAAATGCCATCACTGAGGTGGTACACGAGGCTCTTCTTGCTACTAGAATCTTCCTCTGGGAGGGAGGAGGGGGGAAGAAGGAGGACTCAAGGGGGGTTTTGGCACATGGGTGGGCTCATCCCACCATCCAACTGTCCCACCATCTCACTATCCCACCATACTCAGTTCTACCATCCCACCATCTCACCATTTTACCATCCCACCATCTCACCATTTTACCACCCCACTGTCCCACCATCTCACCATCCCATGGTCCCACCAGCTCACCAGCCCACCACCCTCACAGTCCCACCACCCTCACAGTCCCACCACCCCACTGTCCCACCACCCTCAGTCCCACCATCCCAGCCCACCCACCATCAGAGCTGGGCTGTTCTGCAGGAACCTCCTCCCTGCCCGTGACGCTGGCGGCGAAGGTGAAGGCAGAGCTGACATAGTACCTGCCAGGTCTGGCCAAGATCTCCACCCCACAGCCCTCTGGGAAATACAAGTCCAAGGCCGAGTTTATCCCAGCAGCAACCTGGATGGGAAGAAGATGCCCCCAACCTGGTTAGCTGGGTCCTTCTGCAGGGACCCAGACCCAGGGGACAGCCCCAGCCTGGCTCTGCCACCCACCTCTTCGAAGCGGGCTCGGGCGCCCTCGGTGCCAGGGAATCCCCCCCCGATATCCAGGAGGTGCATCTGGAAGCCCAGCTCTGTGCCCACCTCAAAGGCCAGCTGTGCCACGGCCACTGCCCGAGCCAAGGTCTGGGGCTGCAGCCCATGGCTCCCCAGGTGGAAGCTGAGGGAACAGTCCCAGTCCCTGTTCCAGCTGGGCTCTGCCACCCCCGGGAGCAGCTGGGGGACACGGCTCTGGGATCATCCCTCCCTGGGAACAGTTTCTGTGCCCCCCCCGCACCATCCCAAGCCAGACTGAGCCCCCCAGATGCTCTCTGAGGGACAAACCTGCCCCAGATTGGTCCCAACAAGGGTCAACCTCTCCAGGTCCAGCCTCCACCTCCCTCCTAGCCAGGGCAGCAGGTGGCTCCACAGACCCCTGCATTGTTCCAGCAAGGCAGAGCTTCCCAAGTCCCCTTCCCTATGGAAGAAGGACCATGTGCTGTACCTGATGCCAACCACCTCCAGAGCCTGCTCCTTTGCCATCTCCAGCAGGTGCCGGCAGGACTTGAGTGTGGTCCCAAACATCATGCTTGGGTGGGCAGAGGGGCTGGAGTCAGGAGCAACACCCAACAACATCCTGCAGAGCAAAGCCACACGGCCATGAGGGGCCTTCACAGAGACACAGGGGGGTTTGGGTTGGAAGAGACCTTAAAGATTACCTGGTCCCACCCCCCTGCATGGGCAGGGACACCTCCCACCAGCCCAGGTTGCTCCAAGCCCCATCCAACCTGCCCTTCAACACTGCCAGGGATGGGGCAGCCACAGCTTCCCTGGGCAGCCTGGGCCAGGCTCTCACCACCTTCACACCCAAGAATTTCCTCCTCATGTCCAACCTCCATCTCCCCTCTGCCAGTTTTGACCAATTTCCTCTCATCCTGTCACTACTTCAGGCCCTCTGTCACCAGTGTCCCCAGCTCCCTCCAGCCTCCAAGGATGCTGCCAGACACCTACTTGGCACGAGGGTGGTTTCTGGCCACCTTGCTCAGCTCCACCTCGTTGTCAAAGGTCATCAGCTCCACACCTTGCTTGGCTGCATATCTGAGGTGGGCAACCTGCTTGCAGGGGCTGCTGTAGAAGACCTTGTCAGCTGGGACCCCGATGCTTTGAACCCGTGCAATCTCTGCCTGCAGGGAAGCAGCCCTGGTGTCAGCAGGTCTCTGGGCCACCACCAACCCTGGGCCTCAGCCAGCCAAGCAGGGGACAAACTGCCAGCTGTGCAGCCTGGGCTTTTCCAGAGCTCCAAGGGATCAGGGTGGACTTTGTCCTGGCAGGGGCAGGTTGCAGCAAGATCTTTACAAGCAGCAATGAGACCAGGAGGAGGGGAAAGTGGCGGGTGAAGCAGGTTTGGTGCACGTGTCCCCTGGCACAGCACTTGTCTGAGCTGTCACCACTCTTTGCACTTTCTCCTCCTGGTCACACGTCCTGGTTGATTAGGTAGGAGTAATTGGCTTAACTTGGGATCCTCCCTGGGGAATCTGAGCATCTGAGAGGCAGGAGGGAGCAGGGAGCTTCAGGCTCAGCCTGAGAGGCACTGAGGGTTGGGTGGCTGCAGCACTGGCACCCCAGGGACTTGACTTGGCACCAGCCAGGCCAGCCAGGACACCCAATTCCAGAGTCAGGAATATCAAAGGGAACAAGCCTGAGCCACCAGGCAGAGAGCACAGGGAATTCTGGGCTGTGCTGGGAGGATTTTGACAGCAGAGGGAGATTCCTGCCTGTGTCAATGGCACCTGGTGAATGGAAACTTAGGGAAAGGGGGTGAGCTCTGCCACTGTCCCCAAAAAATTCCCAAAGGATGCTGACTGGAGCTATTCTCCCATGACCCTACCTTGTTGGCACAGGCAAAGCCTGTCCCCAGCTCTGCCAGCAGCCTGAGCACCCCTTCACTGCTGTTGCACCTGACTGGGAAGTAGGGCTTGACACGAGGCAGGGCCTTCAGGAAACACAGGTGCTTCCTCACCATGTCCCCAAGGTCTGCCACGAAGAAGGCTTGCTGGTCACTCTAGGAGAGAGCCAGAGTGAGCAGCTGTCACCTCCCCACAGTGGCTGCTGGGGAGCAGCAGAGCCACCAGCCCTCACCCCCTGGCACAGCTCCACGAGGAGGTTCTCCAGGAGGTCTCTGGTGGTGAAACCCTCCTCCACCATCCTGAAGTTGGACTCGTCCAAGTACCCATTCATGGTCAAGGTGTGACAATGCTAGTTGGAAGCCTCCTCACAGAGGGTATAGCTCCTGGGTAGGGAACACACTGGAAAAAGAAAAGGAGAATTAGAGGAAAGGATCCAGAAGGTCTACCAGCACCCCGAGGTGCTCCCTGTCCCTCCCATCCATGGCTGTGCTGCCCAAGGGAGCTTCTCTGCTGCTCTCCTCCCAGCCAGCACCTCAGCTGAGAGCTCTGCTGTGGGTTCATAGAGTCAGAGAATCACAGAATGGTGGGGGTTGGAAGGGACCTCTGGAGATCAGAGTCCTGCCAGAGCAGGATCATCTGGGGCAGGTCACACAGAAATACATCCAGACAGGTCTTGAAAGAGAAGGAGCCTCCCCAGCCTCTCTGGGCACCTGTCCCAGGGCTCTGTCACCCTCACAGTCAAGAAGTTTTTCCTCATGTTGAGGTGGAACTTCCTGTGCTCCAGTTTGTGGCCCTTGCCCCTCATCCTGTCACAGGGCACCACTGAAAAGAGACTGGCCCCTCCTTCTTGCCACCCACACTTTGGGTATTTATGCACATTTAGTAAGATCCCCTCTCAGTCTTCTCTTCTCCAGACTAAACAGCCCCAGGTCTCTCAGCCTTTCCTCTTTTAACAAAAAAGAGTTCAAGCATCTTCTCCAGGGGGAGGAGACACAGTTCCCTGCAGCTCAGAGGTTGTTCAGGCACCCAGCAGCCCTGTCTCCTGCAGCAGCAGCTCAGGCACCAACACAGTTCACAACAAACCCAACTCCACTGCAAAGGGGACAGCCTATCAAAACCAGGACACATCCCTATGTGCTCCAGCTTGTAGCTAAATCTGCTGCACGGGGTGACATTCCCTTCTAGTTTCCAGTAGTTGGGGTCCCCCAGATCCCTCCAAGCCCCACAGAAAGGGAGGCACCTCTAGAGAGCACATCACAGGCCACTGGCTGACCTCGGGGTGCTCTGGATCCGTGTTGTGCTCCCAGTTTCACACTCTGCTGTGATACAGGGTGTGGAACAAGGGGACAAGTTGAGCTGCAGGGTGTTCCCTGGCTCACACACTTAGCAGAGCTTCAGCTTTAAGCTCAGACACAATCACTTTAACAATCTCCTCCCCTGGTTCCAGCCCAGCCCATAACCCAAGGAGGTGAAAACCTAGCATGAGCTTGCAGGAAATATTTTCACTCCAAGAATCCAGGTCTAGCTCCAGGGCTTTTACAGGAACATGGTCCCTGTGACTTGCAGAGCATTCCAGAGGGGCACCAGGAGAAGACCACCAGGACCTGGACTGACAGGGTGTTTTAATGCATTAAGCAAACCCCACCAGCAAATTCCAGAGATGGGGAATGGGGAGAAAATCTGGGCTTTGAAGCTCTTAAAGCTTCAAGCTTGGAAAAGGAGAGCAAATCCTCCAGTTTTATCCTACACTCCCCAGAGACATCACTAACCAGCACCCAACCTGCCCTGCTTGGGCACAGAAATGATGAGAAATTGACTGAGTGGTTCCTGCCAGCCCTGGGGACCCCCGGGGTGCCCAATGTCTGATTCCTGGGTGAAAGGGCCAGACCCCCCCTCCCCGAGGAGGGCCAAGCTCCTGCAGCACCCCTAGGCTGTTGCTGGGGGTCCCAGGTCCCTGGGGAGGAGCAGTGCAAGGGGTTAAGCAGGGGAGAGAGGTGCTGATGGCAGGATGCCCTCCATGCACCATTCCCAAAACTCAACATCCACCCAGCATCTGCAGGCATCCCCCCCGCAGGCCCCTCCTC